CATAATGAGAAACGCGGCATTCAGCGTCGCTACCGCAACTGACGAGACAATCGTACATCACTGTTTGACGGGGAACCGCAGCTCACGCAGCTTATCGACAGACTCGACACGGGAGCTGGTACCGAATTTCTCAGCCTTATAATAGACATGTCCCCACCTGGTGTAGACGGTGTAGATTTTCTTGTTTTTCTTGGCCTCCAGTAGAGAGCGGAAGATTTGGCTCTTCTGTGCTGTTAAGCTCTCGTTTATGAAGAGGTCGTTTCGTCCCTTGAGCTCCAGACGGCGAGACATCAGCTCAGCTGGTCTCGCACGCCGCCGGGTCCGGAACGGACGAACCGCACGATGACCTTGTGGTTAGCTCCGGGAAGTCGATGAGCGCGGTCGATGTCAGCATCCGTGATGTCCAGTCCCGGCAAGCGGGCGCGAACAGCACTGATCACCAGCTGGTTAATGTCCTCCGCCTCACCTCCACTCTGTCCACCGGCGGAACGGCCGCCCCTCTCCCCGTCCCGCGCCCGGCCGGCGCCGGCCGGCGCGTCAGCTGACTCGGCCCGGCCCTCTCCACGCGCCGAGTCACCGCCCCCGGGCGCGGTGCGACCGGCCGGCGGCAGGGGCGCGTCCAGGCGCGTAGGCCGGTGGGGCGCCATGGCCTGGCCGGAGAGAACCAGACACGGAATCCGCGAGTTCATTTCCGCGTTCTCGGCTCTTTCTTCCAGGAGTTTGATCTGCTTTCGGGAAGCATCCAGATGATTGGTCAGCTCAGCAACCTCCAGGTCCCGTTCCTCTACGTGTCGTTCGAGGTCACGTACCCGATCGGTGAGAGCACTCAGCTCAGAGGACACCAGCTCGCGAAATTCATGCAGATCCCTGGAGATTGACGAGGACAGCCTTTCCTCCAGCTTCTCCAGGGCATCATCCAGGTACTGCCTCATGCTGGTGTTTCTCGGAGACGGACTGGGCTCGGAGTCGCGTTCACGAGCGCCGCGTTTACCGGCTGGTGCTGGGTCTCCCGACTCGGACCTGTCCCGTTTTCCTGGTCCTTCACCGAGCGAGTCGCCAAAATTGCGCACAAGTTCGCTCACAGTCTGCCGCTCTTCGGCAGCGGCCGCGGCGTTCTCCATCCTCACTCAATTTAAAAGATCGCAAAAGTCACCGGTACCGCAGGGCACATCTGCCGCACAGCCAGGCACTCACTTGACACGCGCGTGGGTACGGCAGCGAGGCGCGCGCACACCCGTCCCTGCCCGCGGTCACCGGTCGACGAAATTACGATTCCGTGTGCTTGAGATAGTTTGAAATCATTCCATGCGCAAAAACAACAGTTTCCTTATTTCCCCATTCACTTTTAATGGTGAGGTCACGTGACCTTGAAGAGTAGCAGGAATTAGCAAAAATTGCGAGTAGGGCATGACAGAAAGACGATTGGTGGTTTGTATGGCATGGCCATTTTTAACGGCTCGAAATAACATTTCTCAAAAAGTCTAACTAAAGAGCAAGTTGTTGTTGATTATCACTGACTTGTGTTTAGGGGTTAATAATGACTGAATTTTTGAGTTTGACCGAGAAATGTTGACAGCATTGTGTGCATTGATCAATTCTGAGCTCAGGGACATATATTTCATTTAGATTATAAGCGTTTGTTTTTCACAACTTCCAGCGTTTTAAAGAGCGCCGGGCCTTCAGTAGAGCGGCGAGGTGATAATTGCCCCTACATCATGTGGTTTACTGGCGCATATCTCGAAAAGTAGCAGGGAAAAGCAGCAAAGCACCTATATGGAACAAAAGATGAGTAATTAGAGGCTAGTATGAAATGTTCATTTTTAGCCGCTCGAAATAACGTTTTTATAAAAGTCTATTTAAAAAATTGGATATGATTTTAAATTACGTCTTGCAGCTGCTTGCAAACAGCTAGCTTATCCTTGCAGAAAAGCGATGCAATATGTCAGAATGATGTTGGCACAGTGAACAACAGTGCCCTGAACTAGTCTGACAGGAAATTTCGTTCAAAACGACGATTGGTCAACTAATAAATTACGCCTAAAGTTCATCATTAAAATCGGTAAATGTGGTGGCCTATAGAGAGTCTAAATTGTCTTGTGTTTGGTGACAACTGACGACCTCAATTTTGACCTTAGGGCAAAACTAGCATCGGAATCGTATTCTTCGATCAATTTGGGATTAAATGATACCTATTTTGTTCATATTGCGGACAGTCAGTTTGGGGGAATTTCTAGCGCTTTTTCAGGCTGCCGGCCTACAGTGCGCCGGCCGCCGCGCCGCCGAGGCGGCATGATGTTTGACTTTACACCGCTATTACTAGAAAAGTTGTGAACCGATTTTCTTACTTCTTGCACGAGAAGATCCGCAATTCAATTCTGGACAGGTAGCCGAAATTTCACATTGATATTATGCTTGCGGCGCGAGTTATTGGCGAAAAACAGGAGGGGTGGGCGAAATCCGCCCCCCCTTCCACTGCGCGTGTTAAAGGTACTCTGAATTTATTCAAAATGTTCGTATTTGATCTTTATTTTCATTTTCAATTTGCTCTAATAACTGCTGACACGTTCAGAAATGACAAATTTCAAATGACATTAAATAATAGCCTTTTGGTAAAAGCGATCAATGAAATTAAGAAATACAAGTTGTTGAGATGAATACAATAGGTACATTATTTTATCATTTTAAATTCATTGTCCAAATACATAAGCCACTGAAGTACCTACCTACATACTCGAATGTGCATTAGCCCAATGACCGAATTTTTTTAAAGAGACCATTGTAAAGAAACGAATGTATGCTAGAAAATCGTCAATCAGAATCAGCCAATTTGAAACACATAGAAAAAGGTTTAAATATCCCGACTCAAAAGTGGATAACTTTGCACTAGAAAGTGGAAACTGAAGCACAAGACATAATCTAGCAATTAAAACCGATTTTTCAGATTTTGAATTTTGAAATGTCTCCAGCCACATTCATCCATTTCTGTTCCGAATCCACCCGGCTTTGTATGGTGACCACTGGCAAATGATCACAGTGTCGGTCGACAGCCACTCACCGACAAACGTTCACAGCGACAACTCACTGACAAACGTTCACAGAGACAGCCACTGACTGACAAACGGTGAGTCACAAATCACTCAGCGACACACGTCCCACTCTCTCACCACAGCATAGGTATGTGTTAGCCCGCGCCCCGTAGGGGGGGGGGGGCCGAAACGGCCCCCCTGTCCTTTTCGGTCGATATCTCCTAAACGGCTGGAGATATCGCCACCAAACTTTCAAGACCCCTCCGGGCATCAATTTTACACATTGTGACTAAAAAAATATTTCCAGAGGCTATGATAAGTTGGCCACAAATGACGTCAGAGTGACGTCATGTTCTGTCATTTTCGACCGAAAAAAGACCTTCGCGAGAAGACCTGTCAGGACTACAGCTTTGAAGATACAGAAAAATGATCAAGACATAAAAGGTGTAGAATTGAAAGGGCTACAAAACTGCTATTTCAAATTTTTGAAATTTTTGAGTTTTGACCCCCAAAAATCAAAAAAGCATTTTTTGGATATATTCGCCAAAAAATCCAAAAAGTTTTTTGAGTTTCGAAAAAACCGGAATAAATGTGATAGTGCCTACCGTCTTCTATCTACATACCAAATTTCAGATCGATATCTCGTTTTTTGGCCAAGTTATAGCGAAAAAACTGTTCAAAAATGATGACGTCAAATTTTCAAACTCAATTTTTGGCAATTCTAGAACTCGTAGAGCAAAACAAAGACCACCATTAAACTCCCCGTGACGAGCTGCATCGAATCGATACCCATTTTATGCAAAAATATCAACTTTGAAATTTGACCTAATTTGACCTCACCTTGACCTGACCTTCACCAAAACGTGACCTAGGCTGGCCCCAAAGGCTGCCTAACCCACATAATCGCATTTGTCATGTAAAATGGACCATAAAACATGTATCACACGACACATTCATATTGTGACCCCCGGTGACCTGACCTCGCTGTGACCTGACCTGGTATCAGTGACCTCAGATAGCAAAGTATGTGTTTGACGAACAATGTACCATCGATGGTTTTCAATAAATTACAAATTTACTCGCTTTCACAGCACATTTCTTGAATTGCCTGTGAACGGTGAAAATCTGACATTTGACCTGACCTGTGACGTCATCGGTTTGACCTAGGTCAATGAAATTTGGTCACAAGGTAGTTCCCGGGTGGGGCTATCGAACGCCGTTTGAATTTTGAAAATCGGCCGGTAACTTTCCGAGATCTTAGGGGGGCCGAAACGCCCCCCCCCCCCTCCTACGGGTGGTAGGGTCCGCCGGTAGCCCTACGGGGCGCGGGTTAGGATCACATACATTATCGTCTATATATTTATAGATGGGAGTCAATACGAGCTTCCACTCAATTAATGCACATCACAAGGTTTTCCGCCTTTGTCTAAATTGCACTGCCTCATACCGTTTAATGGTATAACGCTGAAATATGAGACATCGCGGAAGTAGAAATGGAAGACAGCCATTATCAAATTAAAACAGCGAGCCATCTCCAAATAACGGAGAGCGGAATGTGTCCATAAATCAAAGATTTTCTGAGTGTGACATTATTGTCTCATTTCTTCTCTCTCCGAGCCTGCCTGTTTGAATGCTTTACTGGATTGAAAAGTGAATAAGAGAAATATATAACTCGTATATATTTAATCACCCGTTAATTTGAGGAAAACTACTAACTTTTGTAAAAAGTGTCGCTGATGACATCAATCAAAGATCCGTTAACAGAGGAGACAGTTTCGTATAGACCAAGTACATACATTGGGCATTTTGTCGGCATGGTGACCTTGACATTGGTGGCGCGTCTGCACCATGCAGGTGAGAGCAGCATCTGTTTAGCAGACACTCATACCACGCGGCGGTCGGGCGCTGCTTCAAGGCCGCCCGGCTACGTAACCTCGGCCACTTTCACTTTTTTACGCCACGCCGGCCGTGAGGCTGCACTGGCCGCGGGCTGTGGGCCGTGGACCGTCGCCAGTCACTGCTCGCTCGGCGCACGGGTGCGCGACACGAGCCACACGTACTGGGCGGGACACGTGCCACACGTACTGGGCGGGACACGTGCCGTACGTGCTGTGTGGGTGCAGTCGGTGTTCGGGCCGTGTCGGTGGTTTGTTCGGGGTGATGTCGCGGTGTGCCGCGGTGACGGTGCTGCTGCTGGCCGCCGGGCTGCCCGCGCTCTGCTCCGGGTGGCTCCTGGAGGGCCTGGTGGGCTCCTGGGTGGTGCCGGAGGTGCACAGCGGACAGCGGAAGAGAACAGAGCCCGAGAGGACGCAGCCGCTCCAGCTGCCTGAGGAGTATGACCAGGAGCCAGCCGAGGACCTGCCCCTCAGTGAGTACACGAGCGTGCACAACGCGCAATACACAATGCACATGCCTGCTACAGGTATGGATAGAATGCACATTAAGTTTTTCGCCTCAAAGACGTCGTTATTAATTGGTTAGACTTGAGCGACCTTCTCATTGCTCGAAGGAGCTGGCGTTGTTCCCACAAACGGCGATGCTCACAGCCCTCAAGGTCACCGTATGGGCAGAACGGCGCCGCCCCACCACAAAGACGTGCTGATGGCGCGCCATAAGTAACCAACATAATTTACCCATTACAACAGCATGTTGACATAGCCGGGCATTCCATTACACGGTTCACAAGCTTTGACAAACAGCCGGCTAGAGTTTCTGAATGCGCCAACCAAAGTAACTGAAGAGGCGTTGTTTTGCATCCGTACGTACTCGATTGGAGATGTCTGTCTTATTCAGGGAATCAGTGAAAATGAGTGAATGGTTATTATAGGTTAATGGTTACCCTTGTCCTTGTAAAGAGTCGTCTGTAATGAGGCACGAAAACATCGAATGATTTAGGTAAATCAATGACTTTCATGGTACAGGATGTGTTAGACGGGCTGCATAGTCTGTAACGTTACCAATATGCTTACAATCGCTGTGATTATTTTGCCACTTCCACCACTACTGGTTTAGCTAAGACCACGCGCCGGGTTCCCGTTTCTGGCTGGTGTGGTCAGCGCCGCGCCGGTTCCCCTGCGCCTGCACCGCGTGCCGACCAGCCTGACCTCGGAGGAAACGCGTTTCGCCGACAATAGACGCCGGATTTTCCTCATCATTGGGATTATATCTGTTCCGCGAACGAGTGGCTGTGGCTGCGCGCCGGGAGCTGTCAGAAGCACTATCACAGACGCTCAGAAGGCGGCGTGAAAATAAGGAAGCGTCGATTGTTCCAAGCGCTGATCGATGATCAGGGCTGATGCTCAGATTTAAAAACATATCAATTAACAAGCTCTTCACGATGTTTATGAATGTAGGACACTGGGGAACACCCACCTAAAGCTGGTATAGTTATATAGGTGCTTTATAAGCAATGTCGTTGTAAATACACCACAGCAAAGACTATTATATCGACACTACTTTCCATTTTACTTGATGAGACCGTGATACCTACGACCTGAGGTGATCGCGTCCCGTTTGTCCCCAGGGCCCCACCCGGCCACGCCTCCTCCGACCCGGGTGGGGATGACCTCGGTGGACGGCGAGGAGCGGGCCACTCCGACCCAGCGCGACATCGAGACCACGGTGCAGCTGTACCGGCTGCTCAAGGACCGGCGGCGCGCTAACAGACACGGTCAGTGCCGCAGCCGGCTGCCGTCGGACAGGCATCATCAGCGCCGCTGGGCCGCTGAATGGTAGCTAATCCGTGCCTGCGTGCTGGCATGCGACTTAGGCCCGCTGCGTAGACGGGGCGAGTCTGATGTTTTTTTTTTCTTGCGCGCTGGAAACTGCACACCGCCTTGATATCGCGAGTTGTGAGATATTTTATGTAATGCCGTTTTGAGCGATATTTCCATGCCTGCATATTGTTGACGGGCTGTCTGGCCTCCGAGAAGCCGGGACATTCGTCTTCACCATGCTCTGGGTCCCACCTCATCATTGATCACACACCCCTATTACTCCAGGCGGGTGGTCACCACCATCAGACGGCCAGAACTACAAGCAGTACCTATGCCTTTAGGTAAACCTACACTATGAACCGCTTGCGCAGCTGGTTGGTCTGCCTTTTTGGGGCAGGCCAGACTCAGTGGCGCGGGAACTTATTTCAGACTGGGGGGGGGGGGGGGGGCGGGGGGGGCTGAACCATAAAAGAGATCAACCTAGGGTACCCCCAAATCTAGTTTTCTCACTGGTTTTCGGCCGCTTATTTTTTAGACCTTGGCCTTAAAAAACGAAAATATTTGCAAAAAGTCAGGTATTCCGTCTCAGCTGAGTGAAGAAACTACCGTTTTGGCAGCCTGGAATAAAGGTTTTAATCTGCCAAATGAGTTGCCGAGCCAGTGAAAGAGGTGGATTTTTCACTTACATGCTTTCTTCCTTTGTGACCCACAACCCATAATTTGGGGAGGACAAGCTGCCCCAACGGTTCCTGACCTCATGAAAAGTGGTGAGGCACCGCCCCCACGGCCCCAGAGTTGTGGGGGCAAGCTTCCCCCACTGCCCTCTCCCCCGGTTCCCGCACCTATGTATGAATCTATGAAATTATGTTGGTAGATTTCCGATTTCGATTCCTCCAGCTGGGGGGGCTCAAATACATTACGAGCCCCCCCCCCAGCCGAAAAGTTGGAGGGGCTCAGCCCCCGCTAGCCCCCCCCCCCCGGTTCTCGCGCCACTGAGGCCAGTGACCAGTTGCCACCCCATGGGACGGGATGGGCCTGTACCACGAGTTGGCTCAACTGCGGTGGCGTGGCCGACAGTCGCATTAGTCCGAATCTCTTCCTTATCCTCTCGTCCCGCGGTCTTGCAATGGTCTGAATCGACAACGTGATCCCACCACCAATTTTACAAAACTTGCATTCCAGAACAAAGTCGCGCCAACATGCTTTGATGTTGAACAAGAATGGCATTCAAGAAGATAACAGAAAAATGTGAACATATCAGATACCATACAACTTCAAATGCTTCACAGTATATTAGACCCCGATAAATGGACTACATTTCTTTAGAAACACCATTCCTACTTATCAGTTAGGTATACATACGTACCTATAACGTAGTCCCCCCAAAACATTATCAGCTAAGACATTCCGTAATAACAGTATCCCACGCAGAGAAAAGCACCCACTTCACCCGGTCTGCTGATCAGCTGGTCGATCCCGCTCTGCCGGTCCGGTCCGAGGAACGTCTAGGAGCAGTAGGTGCTGTCGGCCGTGTTCTCGCTGATCCACTCCAGCACCCCGGTGACGCGCGCGTACAGTGCCGGCCGAGTCGTGGCGCACTCGCCCACGCCGAACGACGTGACGCCGACCAGGACGTACCGGCCTCCGACGTCGACCACCAGCGGACCGCCGCTGTCCCCGGCACAGGTGTCCTCTCCGGCCGTGCCCCCGGCGCACACCATCGCCGAGCCGTCGTACGAGAGGCCCACGCGAGCCATGAACGCCGCACAGGCCTCGGGACTCAGGATGGGCAGGTCGACTTCCATCATAGCATCGGCTAGCGGCCCGCTGTTGGACAGATCGCCGAGCCCCGTTGCGGTTGCCATGAGACCCGCGTACGTTTCCCCCGGGGTCGGCAGGCACACGGGACTGATGTGACTGCTGAACGAAATCGGGCGGTCCAGCTGCAACAGTGCGAAGTCGTAGAGGGACGTTTCTTCGTTCCGCTGCGGGTGGACGAGGATGAGGGAGACTCTGAAGACCTCCTCACTGGACGTCGGGTTTCGGCGTACGTTGCCGAGCCTCACCGTCACCTCGGTTGGGTTATTTTCCACGCAATGGGCCGCCGTCAGGACGTACCTGTTGTTGATGACCGAGCCTCCACATATGAAGACGCGGTCTCCGAACTCGGGCCACACGCCCGCCTGCCAAGGGTACTCGTTCTCCTCTGTCTCCGTGCCGCCGACGATGCGGACCGCGCGGTTGACCTGTCCGCAGGTGCAGTTGCCGTCGGAGTCACCTCCCGGCGAAGGAATGCCCATGACGACGATGTTGCAGTTAAAACCCTTTTTGTTCACGGACTTGTCGGATATAAACTGGACGTTGAGTGACTCTGCAGATACGCTGACAGCGGCATTCTTTCCGCAGAAATGTTTGCCGTTGATATCCAGCCAATCATACATGCAATAGCCATTGACGCCTTCAACGTCGAAGTCGGAGCAGACGATGCTGATGATGTTACCTGCATCAGCTGTGAAGCTCCAGGAAATGTTGGTCTTGGCTGAGTAGTTTACAGGATAGTTGGGTGACTGAAGAACGTATTTCCCACGAGATAATCTGGAGGTCTTCGACTCATCCTCTAGATTTCCACAAAGCTTGAAGGCAGCAGCCGTCGTATCGGCTTTGGGTTTCGGAATGATGACGTCCTCTTGCGATAAGCAAATATGTTTCGCCTCTCTACTCAGCTTGTGGGCGCCAGGCGCGCCCGCCAGTTCCGGACAGACATGTTTCTCGGCCGGTTGTTCCTGCCGGAGAGGTACGCTGGCAGCAGAGGACGGCAGGGCCGAGGCGGCGATGCCGACAGTCAGACAGATGAACACCAGCAGAGCCATTGTGAGATGGTGCATGGAGGCGGTCAGGGGCGGTTTTTATAGCGCGCTGTGGCAGGACACAGCTGCTACAGACGCCCGGTTCAGGGGCTGTATGGGCCGGGGAACATGTCAGGCGGGAGCACAGGGTGCGCGACTAGCGCGGCGACGGATTGGTGACTTGTTACCGACTCAATGAACCGCAGGCCTAGAATTTTTATGAGGGACTGCCGTGTTGGCGATTGTAGGTGAAGAAGTTAAGAGCTTTAGGACAAAATCATGAGTTACGCATTACACATGTTTGTACCTGATCAATGTTTCAAATTAAACGTGAATTAAAGATAATATACTCAAATGTAAGCATTGAATTTCCTTACAGATCAACGACGGGTAGGTAATCGCAACTAGCTGCTCTTCCTAAGCGCAATAGTTTTGGGTCCCGGCCGGGGATCGACAATGTCGACAGTGCAGACAAGACATCGTATCTGGTGTGGGTTTGCATTAGGTCGGCTATCGCCCTAAAAGTACCCGAAGATGTATGTTACAACAAAGTACGATACACTCTGGTTAGAATGCTGCCCACTGTCCTTCCCACAATCGTCTGACGATTCGGTGTCCGTCTTCTTTCAGCTCTGGGCAACGCTGACACGTTGAGGGAGAGCAAGCCGACCTGTATCCAGCGCTTCATCTGCGAGGTGCACATGCTGCCGGAACACGAGCTGGCCACCGCCGGCGACATCGAGAAGAATATCGCCAACATGCTGAAGTAAGAGAGGTTTCGAGGGGCGCGCCAATAGGAAACATGTTCTGCACACCCTAGCAACACTGCATTATTCATTATCCAGCTAGAGCTACACTATTGCGATTGAAGGGGAGGGCAACTAATGACTGATGGCTGATGGTTTTCGGTTGGGGTTGGTGGTCAGGGTCGATGGTTTGCCGATAGGTCACTATCAACATCAAAAGTAACTAAGGTGAGGTGAGGTGAGGTGAGGTGAGGTGAGGGTGACATGTTTGGGCAATCCGGTATCGCTTTGGGGGGGGGGGCGTCGAGTAGCAACTAGCAACTCACTTCGGGTCCACCTTAGAGTTCTGGTCCACTCACTTCCCATGCATGCATACCTATACGTATGCATTGCAACATGACTCTACACACAGTGTTATGCTGTTGGCACTCTGTTTTATATGGAACGTCAGACACTTTGGCATATCTGTGGCAGTCGGGGTGAAGACTGGCGACCTCTATGTGCTCCTGGCCCACCGGCTCACTGGTACCCGCGGGGCGCTGCTTCTGCGTCCGGGTCGGGGGTTCATATCACATAGACGACACATTGCAATTCCCATGTAGTAGGTACCTATAGGTGTCTATGCTGTCGAGAGCCGTGAGTCTGGCTCTCCGCACAATTCCCGTGCCGAGTGCTGACGCCCAGTATCGTGCCGCCCCGCAGACGGTTCCAGCTGGAGCCGCCGGCCAGCCGCGCCTACCAGTACACGTACGCCGCGCACATGGGCCGCCTGATGCGCGACTCGACCGCCTCCGGCTGCCACGAGATGTTCAGCTCGTGTCCCTTCAGCCGCGAGGAGATGCTGCTGCTCATGGAGGCGCTCAGTAGCTCCAAAAGCGCGCTGGCGTGAGCGGCCCCTCGGCGGGCTGGACGGACTGCCTGACAGAACGCTGGGTCAGGGTGCCCACAAACCATGCACATTGCACAATATTCCTGTGATATTCACCAAATGGTGTGAACTAATGGTGAAATGGTGGCTCGACTAATTGAGAATAAGCAGATTGATAACTGATTCAGCAGTGTACCTAATGCTGAAACTAAATTCAGCGTCTTTAGTTGGAGCTCTCAGCTCACCACAGGACAAAATTTAACATCCATTCACTGGGCAGCCTTCAGCTCCCTGGAACTTGCGGAAAAAATTATGTGAAGGACGAAAATTAGTAGGTGGAAGCTGAACTTCGCTGGTAGTTGATTGTAAATCCAGGACGAGATTCGGATATAAAAGGGCGACCGATATTTCATAATCAGCCGGTACTCAGCTCATGTGGGAACAGTATGAAGAATGAACATGTGACCTTTTCGAAAGTTTTGATCAAACGTCAAATATCGTGTCATTTTGATTTTTTTTTTATCTATAGCCAGTATGGGGAATAAAAGCGCTGCGAAAGTTAGTATTTTCTCAGATTGCTCAACTACATTTATTATTAATCGAAAGCATGGCTTTTAAGAATTGGCAGCAATTATTTCTAAAACGTTTTTTACGCCATTACGGACGAGTCAACTGTCAGCCGTTGAAACAACGAATGATTAGCATGACATGACATGACTATTGACTAAAGTCCGCCATGCGTTTATGTGCTATCCAAAATTCATATTGTCAATATCCGGTTTCACATGAGCAGGCCGAAATGTAGTGTAAAATTGGTGAAATATTGTGCCGATATCGAAAGTGTGGGATGAGAGTGGATACCTTTCCTGCTCAGCCTTCCGACATCTAGTCAAACCGTCGCAGAGCATCGCCGAGTCACTTTTGTCCTGTTTATGTCAGTACGCGCGCCTGAGAATGAGCGAATGTGGTGTCGACTCATGCTTCCGACCACACCGCGAAGCTTTTCCTAACTATTGACAAGCAGGGGCCAAAAATACGCGGATTAAACCAATCTTGCTTGATTTATTGAATCTATGCGTGGATGTTAGCTCGTGTTGCTTTGTGGGTATGGATGCAGATCACTTGGATCATGCACACATTGTATCATATTGCCCATTTAGGCTAATGATGAGGAATGTCTAGTGTGTTCCAAGCGATGACTGTGTACCGATTGGTCAAATAAAAATGACAATTTTATACATGATTTACATTTGAGTCAGCACCGTGCAAAGGCAGAGGCGCAGTCGCCGCCCCGCTCAGGACGTGCCCGGGATACGAGGGAGGGTCACAGAGGGCGCTGGCGCCCATTGGAGGGTAGATAGACAACCGTGGCCGGGCAAACAGCTCGTCCGTCCCAACGAGAACACTGCTCCCCAACAGCGCGTGAGCGGCACGCCGTACGAAGGCCGCTCCTGCTTTTCGTTTTTTTTTTTAATCTGTTTTCCTTTCGTCTCCCTCTGTCAACTCCTCTTAGGCGTCTTTCAGCTTGGGAGAGCTGGAACACGCGCAAAAGGAGCTGGCGGAACTTTGAGGCCGCACCACGCAAAATCCTACAGGATATCGAGGTAAGAGACGGTTCGGCCCTCAGTTCAGGCACAGCACACCACCCAGGCGCCGGCGACCGCGACGTCAACGCTAAATAATTTGTCGTACAACATCTTTGCTGCATGATATGACCGTTATTATTAGTCTTTTTTCAGACGGTTCTTTTAACCCTAGAACGCCTAGGGGGGGGGTTGTATCAACCCCCCCTGAGGTTTTTCGGAAATCGTGGAAAAACGGCGGCGCGCAGCGCCGCCAAATTTTGGGTACCTTATGGGGCAAACCTTGCGCATCTTTTGATCAAAAAAATTTGACCGGGTCATGTCAGGTCACGGAGTTATGACGTCACAAAGGGAACAGCCTCCGGCCGGATTTTCACAAACTGAGTGCCAACGCCCGAGGTTTCCTGCCGGTGGTACGGACATCGGTTGATGGATCGTGATGAATCTTCCCATGCATGTTGGGGCAAGTATTGGCTATCATATGGTATAAGAAACTTGACCGGGTCAGGTCAGGTCACGGAGCTATGACGTCACAAGAGGAACAGCGTCCGGTACTATTTTTGAAAAGCGCCCGAACCACTATTTTGCTAATTCTTGTCACCTCAATGGGAATATGCAACAATATTAGCTCCTATAGGGAGCAAATGGACATCTGAAATCCAAAAATACAATCAGATTTCAAAAATTTAAATTTTGATTTTTCGAATTTCTGCCGCCGACTGTGACCTTGCCGACTTCCGGCGCTCCCAACGCGCCATTTTTAGAGCTAGGGAAACGAAATACATACCAAACGATAGAGAATTGATCAAGGAACACGATAGTGAAGGTTTCAAGTCGATATCTCTTACCGTTTTGCCGCAATCGCCGCGAAAAATTTGGAAAAGTCTATTTTTCCGAAAATTTGACCTTTGACCGGTCAAAAGTAGGTCAAATGTTGACCTAGGACCAAAAAATATACCACCAATCGCGAGATCTCGTTGAGAGCAATCCGTTGGTTTTTTCCGCTAAGCTCTACGACCTTCCGTTTCGAAACGCCAGGGGGGGGGGTCGTAACAACCCCCCCCCCTGGTCGTTCGTGTTATGAGAAATGGCCTGGTCGTGCGAGGGTTAAAATGGAATAATACCATAACCTCTCTCATGACTGTGCTAATTCTTTTTAAATGATGTCAGCACTTCTGCTACTACTTTGAGGGGATGCAGAAGAGACGTTTGCTCTAAGAAAAGTGCGCCATACAAATGCCTTACCTTGCTTCTTCGAGAGCCGACCGATAACGATAGATCCCGCATGGAACTGCAGCGGGGTGCGTCGGAGGGGGGGGGGTGTTCCCCCCGGACCGGCGTAAGGGCTCTTGAAATTGGCTGCTTTTTCACCTATATATTATGAAGCCTTTTTGATTTATTTATGAAAGGGCTTAGTTTGAATCTTACTGAACAGCACATAACGAAGTGAAATACGGGAGCTTGGTATCTATTATTCCTCTTATGTGTATATTCTCCAGCATGGCGTACGCAGTAAGAAACCTTGGTCAGTCAGTTATTTATTGTACTCCATGTAGTTGTCAATCGACCACCTATAATAATCATGCATTAGTTAACCCGCGCACCGACGGGGGGGGGGGCGGATATCCGCCCCCCCTGAGGTTTTTTGCGAATAGCGGGAAAACCGCGGCGCGTAGCGCCGCGAAATTTGGTACGACTATTCTCTCATCAATTTTACACATGGTGTGCAAGTGTGAACCTCCTATCTTTTAAGGTCAGGTCACCAGGTCACTTTGAATGACCCAACCTCAAGTCACTTTTTGCAACTTTGTCACCGTGCCAGAGCTACAGTAGATGTCGGAGGCCTTTGAAAGTCACAGGATGTTATAAGGTCATTAGTAGCTACAATTAGTGTATCTCGGAATTTTGATATCGGTGACCTAAGGTCAGGTCAATTTCTCGACCTCCCCATTATGGGGGATCAACTCCCTGTTTTTACCACTAAAACGGGTCGGAATGGCCCCATAAACCATACATGACCTCATACGATCAACCTTCACTACCTTGAGGTCTGTTTTGCTGTTGGGCAGCTGCAAGGTCACGTGACGTCATCAAAGGTCACCAGCGGTTTTTTGACAATAACTCCGTACAGGAACAAGATACAGCCGCGCGGATGGTCTCATTGTGATCAGCTCGTCAAGACGCATCGAATGATATACATGATGACCTCGAGGTCACGTGACCTGAGGTCAACCTTTGACCTTGACCTTTCGAGGTCAACATATATATCATTCGATGCGGATTGACGAGAGGATCACGATGCTGCCCTTAGTTTGTTCCTATATTGACTAGTTCGAAAGTTATTCGAGAAAAACTCTCTCAATACCTAGCACCGCCATTTTGACTTTTTTGACCCCTGTGACGTCATCTTTGACCTGACCTGAAAATGACCTTGGTAAAAATTGTAGACCTTGTCCGTGCGTATCCCTTGCCGTTTACCGCTTGTCGCTATCTTGCTTCGTTCTCGAGATCTCAGGGGGGGGGGCGGTCATCCGCCCCCCCCCGTCGGTACGAAGTTGGCGCAGACCCCCGTCGGTGCGCGGGTTAAAACCATGTTAGAACCATGTAACATCTGATCCTTTGCTTAGAGTACAGCGCAATGTTTCTATCGGAACAAGCTGCAGCTCCATAGTTTTCGCGACTTTGCTTAGTTATATAGGTAGTGTATCTTTGGATCACCGATCATCCAGGGGTTTGCTGCTTTCTCGTGGAAAATTGATTAAAACGTGGGGTTAACCCGCGACCTGGTGGGGGGGGGGGGGGGCTATTTTTTGCCCTCCCTCCAGACTTTTCGATATATCTCCAGAACCGCTGCGCCGATCGTCACCAAACTTTCAGTACCCTCCCGGACATCAATTTTACACATTGTGACCAAAATTTTTTCCAAAAGCTATGATAGGCTGGCCGGAAATGACGTCATAGTGACGTCATGTTCTGCCGTTTTCGACCCAAAAAAGGGTTTCGCGGGAAGAGCTGTCAGGCCTATAGCTTTGCAAATACAGAAAAATGTTTAGGACATAAAAGCTGTAGAATTGACAGGGCTACAAAACTGCTATCTCGGATTTTTGAACTTTTTTGATTTTGACCCCCAAAAATCAAAAAATAGATTTTTGGGATATAAAAGTCAAAAAATCCAAAAAAAAATTTGAATTTCGCAAAAACCGGAATATATGTGATAGTCCTTACCGCCTTCCATCCACATACCAAATTTTAGATTGATGCCTCTTTTTTTGGCGAAGTTATAGCGAAAAAAACTGTTCAAAATTGATGACGTCAATTTTTCAAACTCAATTTTTAGCAATTCTAGACCTCGTAGTGCAAAACAAAGACCACCATTAGACTCCCCGTGACGAGCTGCATCGAATCAATACCCATTTTATGCAAAAATATCAACTTTGAAATTTGACCTTTTTTGACCTGACCTTGACCTGACCTCCACCAGAAAGTGACCTAAACCGTACCTGATGGTCTTATAACCAACACCATTGGGTTGGAAATGAAAAACTGGCCATAAAACATGCATCGCACAACCTTAGTAAAGTTGGGTTCATGTGGTGACCCTTGGTGACCTTTGGTGACCTGACCTGTGACCTGACCTGGCATGACCAGTGACCTCTAATAGCAACATATGTACTAGACAACTGACGTCTTATCGCTGATTTTCGACAAAATGCGTTTTACTCGGTGTTATAGTGCTTTCCCTAGAAGCCCCGTGAACGGTGAAACATTTTATCTTTGACCTGACCTGTGACGTCATCGGTGACCCCGAGGTCAATGAAATTTGGTTTCCTGCGACAAATTTGACAGGGCTATCGAACGCCGTTTGAATTTTGCGGATCCGTCCAGTAGTTTCGGAGATACGAGGGGGGCAAAAAATAGCCCCCCCCCACCAGGTCGCGTTATAAACAGACCCCACCAGGGCGCGGGTTAAGCTAGTGAGACACAAATAATAGTAGAACATATTCATTTGAAACAAGAATGACGTATGAACATGAAAAACATGCAGTTGCGACTTTTCGGGTGATCTGACAACGAACGATGCTCTGTCTTATTTAAAGGGACCCTCCCACCTTCAAAAAAGTTAATGAATTGGCATGAAAGTGATGTCGCTCGGTTCAGAAAGAGCAAAAATGAATATCTACCAAATTTCATCGAAAAATATTCACCGGTTTTCAAGATATTAGACTTTTACTTTTGTTTACTTTTTGGGATCTCCGCTGTTCCTAGCGACTTTATTTGAAAGTGCGGCATTTGTTGCGCGCAAAGCAGCATATACCACCGCGTGCTGCCAAACGTTTTAGTAAAAGATTTAAAAATCGTTAGATCTCCGCTGACGTCACAAATTCTAAGGGGGCATACCAATGCCCCCTTAGAATCCGAAAACTGCAAGTTTGAAATTCCATATCTCCGAATTAAAGCATTTTTCGATGTTGTGAATGCCCAAACCGTTATTTTCAGGCCATGGCCACCAATTTGGCTATCTCAACTCAAAACTAATGTTAAGGTGGGAGGGTCCCTTTAAGTAAAAAATAAGTACCTATTTAAGGACTATTTACATGCGATCATGAATAATGATGCAGCGAAGGTAGGTTATTACATGACCACCTTGATGCATCGTTTTCAACAATTTCCGGGAGATGGGCATTGGACCTTCTCCAAACGTACGTAGGGCTTATGAACATTGCTGTTTAGTGAGAATGAGTCAGTCAATATAGTGCTAGTGATGGCAGCATATTTGCATGGTACCTACCTAAATATTCACTCACGCACATAACTTCACGACGCAACACGATATCACATGGGTATGGCTGGAACTTGAATCGATGATATCGTGATACCCACCACTGACCACTAGCATAGCGTACCTGACCTATTGGTATGCCGTACCACTGACCTAGCGGTACCAGGGGCCGTCCCGCCGCTCCCAGGCCAGGTGAGCGGTCCCCGTGGCGGCCCTCCGTACGCCGTACCCCACGCTGGGCTCACTGCGGGCGCGCTGGCGGGCGCCGCGGGGTCCGGGCAGCCGGTCACCACCCCCCAGCCCGGCGCGCAGCCGGCGGGCGGCGCACTCAGCAGCCAGCAGCAGGCAGCTGGCGGCAGCGGCCAGCGGCGTGATCACCAGCACGGCCAGCAAGTCGGCCAGCGTCAGCGGCCGGAACGTGACGTCATCGGAGCACTGCTGGTCGGCCACGCCGAACCAGCGGCGCTTCAGGTGGTCCAGCGTGCCGGCCTGCATCAGACGCTGCAGGCTGACAGAGGGAGAGCGGGGTCAGCGAGAGAGGGAGAGAGGGAGAGGGAGAGAGGGGGAGGGAGAGATAGAGAGAGAGGGAGAGATGGAGAGAGAGAGAGAGAGGGGGAGGAGAGGAGAGGAGAGGAGAGGAGAGGAGAGGAGAGGAGAGGAGAGGAGAGGAGAGGAGAGGAGAGGAGATACAGAGAAGCTAGAGGAGGAGATAGATCATGACGACGAAAAGTGTGTAAGACCTACCTATAGTAACCAGTCAACAGGTAATATCTGGGCCGACGGTAATATTTTACACGATAATGACAACACAGTTACAATGCATCTCTCTATGCGATGCACTAATGGTATTGATAACGGCAGGTAGTTCTATATCTATGGCGTTGACAGGTCGCTCCCCGGTTTCCCGTTATGTGGGCCATTGGTCCCATTTCTTGCGACTCAGCGACGTCACTGAAGTAAGACATGAACGGGGTTAATGGACCGAATGCAACGAATAAATGGCACACTAAACAGACCAATTGTGGCTATCAGAACACGACCTGACCCAATTCAGACTTCCTTCTAAGGATGAATATGTTGGTTCAAATAGGTGACGCGGCATACATTACATGATAAATCCGGGAAAAGCACATGATCGCCAGCTCCTACAGAAAAAATGTTGCTGAAATACCTACTGCCTAAATTTTACTTATAAAACAGTGAAAATTTGCACATTGAAGTTCAGTGTCCAGCTCGATTATAAATAAAATTCGAGAAGTGTTTTTAGCCCTTCCACCCTTCTACTACTGGACCAGTGTATCTGCCCAGGCTCCGAAAACTTAAGTAGGCGCCTCTGTGGGTATACGATCTACAATAGTCTTTGAGCTCAGCAATAAACAGGTTTAGAGGTCAGCACATGTAAATCAATGTCTAGATCTGTCCGCCATTGTGCGATTCGCTCCTGTTCGCGCTCGTGCGAAAGTGTAGCCGCTCGCAGACGTTCGCTGGTAGACGGCGACGTCCGTCCACGGCCAATCATGCATGCAACACATACTAATTATTCATATTTACAGCGATGGTAGTCCATGCCTATAAGCTCGATGTAGACTCGCCAGTTTTTACGCCAAAATAATCAAAATAAATGGTACTTACTATACTGTATGGACAGAGCAAATGTTTTGTTTCTAGGTGGAGCATGCGAAGCGATTATGATACAATTTACTACGTTCGCATGCTTGACGACAGCCAATTATAAACTCTGGCGTCTGGTGAGCCCAGCCGGGTTTTGAAAATGGGTGAGCGGCAGCTACCAGCATTGATAAGTTCTTCTTATATCTTCAAGAATCGCCATAGGCAATTACAGTTTGCGTTGTATTTGTATTATTTTGTGGTAGATTTTGGTAAATTAATACTTTTTTGATCGTGTAGTATGTCACAGGATTCCAATGGCGGTATGGAAATCGGGGTTTGTTAAAACTAGAGTTGCAAAATTTCCCTACCGCACTACCGGCATGCCGGTAATTTTTCACTACCGCAGGTTTTTTCGTGGTATCTGGCATGTCTTGCCGGTAGCATGCCGGTATTTTTGATTTTGCACAAAAAAATTATCAGCATATGATTCAAGCTTTGGACACTAAAAGAGGCTATTGAATTGTAATAAGTTGGACAATGGGTGGCTGTTGGTTGGGGCGGTTACTGAAATTGCCAAAATGTGGCATCTCATGTAGGGGTAAGCCAGAATCAAGAATGCAGGTTTTTTAGTATGCCGGTAATTTGGCGGTTTTTTTTGCTTGGGGCGTGGTAGCATGCCGGTATCCCAGAAAATGTTTGTGGGGCGGGGCGGTGCCGGTAGCAGCCCATTGGGAAAACTTTGCAACTCTAGTTAAAACCAATGGACAGCGCTGCAACGCCTGTAGTGCAAGGCTGAGTTTTGATTTGTTTAGTACATGCGTAATTCTTTGATTATTTTGACGTTAGGCATAGTCATTCATGATAAATAGCATAAATCACATTAATACATAAATCGATGATCGAACGAAACAAAAGTGCTTATTTGGCACAAATAAACCTATTTAATTGTGAATAGATTCAGACCTTTAACAAGAATTGAAACAATGATAGTTAAAAAAAATGAATAAATAGAATTAACTCGCGCGGGGCTGGGGGGGGTAAATTTTACCCCCCCCTCGCGAATTTTTGCGATATCTCAAAAAACGGCGGCGCGCAGCGCCGCCAAACTTTCAGTACCTTTTCTTACATCAATTTGACACGTTCCCAGAAAATTTGAGCGAAATCCGTCGGATAATTTTTGAGAAATTGACGTTTTAGTGACGTCATGTTCGCCATTTTCGCCTCAAAAACGGCAAAAGTTCAAACGCCGCTAACATCTTCATTTTTAAAGGAATCAAGACGTAACAAAAAAAGGTTATACGTAATTTTACTTTGTCTATCAAATGGCTATCTCGGTTTTTTGAAAATTTTGGATTTTGGCCTAAATTAAAAAAAAACTGACTTTTTTGGGAAAATCATTATAAAATCCAAAATTTTGAGTCTATCGAAAAAACCGGAATATATGTCAGAGAAGTGGTCTATGTGCACCTACATACCAAATTTTAGAAGAATCGGTTCAAAAATGTGGGAGTTATTTAAAATTTTATGACGTCACGACACACAATTTTTTTGAAAAATGACTTTTTTGGAAGTTCTAGACCTCGTACGGAAACAAAAATAGCACCATTCGATTCGCCGTGAAAAACTGCATCAGATAGACACCTTTTTAGGCCTTAACAACCAACTTCAAAATTTGACCTCACTTGACCTGACCTTGACCTGAACTCGACCTGAAATTCATCCAGCGGTGGTCCATATCACTTATTGAGTGTGCCTATTGAATTCTATGAGTAAAATGACCCATAAAACATGTGTCGCACATGCCCTTTTCTATATTTTGTTTTTTGGTGACCTGACCTGACCTGACCTGACCTTGACCTTGACCTCTGAATGATATTGTATGCAACGAATATTGTCTTGGTAGCCTAAGAACACGTTTTGGGCGATCAGTCTCAGTCCATGACTCCATTCTTCGGCAACTACGGTGCAAGGCCGATACTGTAGAAACTTGCAATTTGTAGGTACCCTTGACCTGACCTTGACCTTGACCTCAAACTTTAAATTAAGTACATGTTTTTAGTAGTTAGTGATGAGAACTTTCGATTGGCGTTTGAATTTTTCAAATCGGACCATTACTTCGGGAGATAACAGGGGGGGGTAAAATTTACCCCCCCCCCCCAGCCCCGCGCGTTCGGCTGGAGACCCCAGCCCCGCGCGGGTTAATAAATAACATGAACAGATGCACCTATGTACTTTCATGGGCAATGCAGTGTGATGCAGTTCGTAATCAAGTCAACAGACCAGAGGCAGACAAAGCCGAATCGATACGCTATCAACATTACCGTGCGTTACCATTGCTTGTAAATGAGGCCATTGTGATGGAAGGTGCATAACACAGCCGCTGTGAACGTGCAGGTGAAGCCCATCAATCTCGCACCCCATTCCACCTCTGCACTGTCCCGATATCGTGCAGTACGTAACTCACACGCGGTCCATGGCCTTCTTGAGCGGCCGGATGCCCTTCCGGAGCACCAGGTAGTTGCGCACGCCCCTGTGGTCGGCGTCCGGCTCCAGCGGCAGCAGCTCGCACGTCTCGCGGCCGATCACCGAGAAGGCGATCTCGCGGTTGTAGTACATCAGCGTCTTGGGCCCGGCCGCCCGGCGGATGTTGTCCTCGTTGCCGCCCATGGCCAGGTAGCGGTCGCCGGTGACGGCCCGCTGGTACAGGTGGTACAGATTCGGGTCCGAGCTCTTCTGCAGGACGCACGGAACAGTAGCTGAGTGAGCGAGCGTCGTATAATGTACGCCGGTAAATGTATGTAGGGTGGTGATGACGAGGGGGCATTTATCATCCGTAGCCTGAATATGGACCAAGCCCATGCACTGTAGGGCGAGGATGGGTCATGAAATTTTACGTTTCCCGCGATTAGCCAACAAGCGTTCGTGCAAACGACGCTGTTTCTGGGCAGACTTCCGAGGACATTTTTAGCTTAGCTTTTGCGATTTTATTTGCTTTTTAGATAAATTTAAGTCATCGCATATATAATTTAAGGTTGAATACAATTTATCCACTATCTACATTCTACAATTCCTCCACGGAAGAAATGTCTAAACCGTATGTATAACCACCATCCAGTTGGCCCAGTTTTTCCCAACATTACCCCCACGGCCCAGTCGCCCATGGCTCCCAGTTGGCGCCCCTGCGCTGCTAACCCCGGGTACTCACGGCCACTCGGCGCGCCTGCCCCTGCACTGCTGACCCCAGGTACTCACGGCCCAGTCGCCCACTTGGCGCGACTGCCCCTGCACTGCTGACCCCGGGTACTCACGGCCCAGTCGCCCATGGCTCCCAGTTGGCGACCCTGCACTGCTGACCCCAGGTACTCACAGCCCAGTCGCCCACTCGGCGCGACTGCCCCTGCACTGCTGACCCCGGGTAGGACTCACGGCCCAGTCGCCCACTCGGCGCGACTGCCCCTGCACTGCTGACCCCGGGTAGGTACTCACGGCCCAGTCGCCCATGGCTCCCACGCCGAACTCGACGGCCAGCGTCCAGTCGCTGCTGGCGCGGAACTCGGCCAGGCTGGTGATGGGCATCTCGGGCTCCCCCACCGTCAGGTGAGAGATCAGGTTCGCCGTGTACGTCGTGCTCACCAGTATACCTGCACGGGGTGTCGTCAGTCGTCACGGTAAGGGAATGCTTATGTAGGTGCTATGCTTGCGTAGTTGAATGTTCTAAAGAAGGAGAGCTCCGGCATGGTCACTCGGTAAATAACATTGCTCTTCCCCACAAAATAAAGGGTTTTCCGAAGTAGATGTGATATCGAGCGACACTCACTTATCAGTAATCGCCCAAGACACCCACTCGGCACCAGGACACCCACTCAGCACCCAGGACACTCACTCATCATCCAGGCGGACATGGTGGCGATCCGCGCGGCCAGCGAGTCGGGTGTGACCGCCCACCCCTGGCCGGTGACCGCCATGAAGGCGGCCAGCGCGCTGGAGCCCAGGCCGAACTCTCGACAGGTCTCGTCGCTCTCGGCGCGGCGCCGGTTCAGGACGACAGTGGTGGACAGCACAGCGGCCAACACCAGCAGACTGAGCACTGAAACACAGCGACCCTCAGCAATGGAACACATGGCGACCCTCAGCAATGGAACGCAGAGCGACCCTCAGCACTGAAGCACACAGCGACCCTCAGCGTACACCTAAACACACAGCGAGCCTCAGCGTACACCCAAACACACAGCGACCCTCAGCGTACACCCAAACACACAGCGACCCTCAGCACTGGAGCACACAGCGACCTTCAGTGCTGGAACACACAGCGACCCTCAGCGTACACCTAAACACACAGCGACCCTCAGCACCATACTCACACAAGACTAGCCAGACGGAGGAGTGCAGCGGCCGCAGCTAGTGTCTGTACTCACACAAGACCAGCCAGACGGAGGAGTGCAGCGGCCGCAGCAGTGAGTCGAACATCTCGGACGAGAGGCGCGGGGTGGTGCGCGCCCCGCGGCGCACCAGAAACTGGAGGTCACCGGTAAACACGGGCACTAGGTCCGCGAAGTCGACGACGGCAGCCCGGTCCTCGCGGTAGGTAAACCATCCCAGGCCGACGTCCGCCCGCTGGGAAACAGAAGGGCCGTCGGATCAATAAAGAGAAACTGATAGAACGACAGTCACACCACGTTAAAACTGACAGACTGGCAGTCAGGCTGAGCATGAACTGACGAGCTGACCGCGAGTGCGCTAAGAAAACGACAGAATGGCCTGTTCATCCCCGGCTGAGAAACTGACGGGCCGGTCAAAAAACTGACAGGGCAGAGCGGCCGTCAGAACGCGACCCGACAGAACAGCTCCCGCAAATTCATACGTCTTAAACTCATAGGGGTGTCGAGCAGACCCCCTCTGTTTTGTTGTTGCAAAAAAAAACTCGCATGTATGCTATCAAATTGCATGTGATAAGTTATGTATTTAAGCTTATGGAACGGTTTGTGAGTCTTATAACCAGTTGCCGGGGCGTCGCGGGATTTTCACGGCAATCTTATGCAGCGATAGGTATGAAAATTGACAAACATGGAGTTCACAATTTGCACCGTTCTTGATGAAGAATGAACTACAGTGAACTGATAGTCTTGTTTAGGTATATAGGGGAGATCCGTGTAAGACGCCCAGGGTCGATAAGAGGCCCCATCGCTTTTTTTACCAAACCAATAATGTTATTTATTTTTTAATGTTCTTGTAAAGCAGAAGCCCTCTTGAAACAACAACTCACGAAACCTGAGGTATCAGGTGCGTCGCAGCGACTTTTGGTAAGCCTGTTTCTGTTTTTGCCCCTTTACTTGCTAGATATATGCATCTTTATCACCCTTATATATCTGACAAAAACAATGGCTATCAAATGCAATCTTTTCTCATCGAAATTGTCACATGTTAGCTTCAGAATAGACCATGTTCTGGTGCGCTGCAAATGTCTCATAAACCATAAATATTGTGGACGTTAAAACACTGTATTTTTTTAAGAGGCCCTCCCTTCGAGGATGATAAAACGCCCCCCGATAAAAAAACGCCCCCGATGCTAAAACGCCTGCACCTGCGGCAGGCGTGGCATTCTTTTTTCAAGGAGTTTGTTTTTGTTTCTTTTTTCTGTTTCTTTTCTTAGAGGTTATAGGTACAATTTTCGTTGGTCATCAGCGTTTGGTTGTGCTAGTTTTCGCATTGTTCGAGCGCTTTGGAAGTGTTATTGGTTTCGATAACACCGTATTTGCTTAGCTTTTCGAAATAAAAGGCCTTGCAGCTGTGTTCGCAAAGCGTCTTTTACAAGTCGACTTGACTTTTAAAACGCCCGAGGGGGGGGGGGGGCGTCTTACCATACCCATAGTGTAAGAGGCCCTTTTGCAACTTTTTCCAAAATGTTAAAGTTTACGGTTTGTGTACCCCCTAGATTCATTTTGAATGCAAATATGTATGGGAAAATGATGCATGCTCACAGCGCATGCACACGTTAGCGCTTAAATATTATCAGTTGTCTAAAAATAGTAACTGAGCTTAAGGGGGGGCCTCCTGCACCACTCTCCCCTAAGACGCTCAAATGTACGTAACAAATGTGCAATGAGTTAACCCGCGCCCCACTGGGGTCTGCGTATAACACGCCCTACTGGGGGGGGGCCTCTTCATAGCCCCCCTCCTAACTCCGAAACTACTGGGCCGATCGTCAAAATTCAAACGGCGTCTGATAGCGCCGGAAAAACTGTCGAATGAACCCTAATTTCATTGACCTCGAGGTCACCGATGACGTCACAGGTCAGGTCAAAGTAAAAACTATTAGCATGTTGGCTTGTTCACATTTTGGGCTCTGGCCGCCGTCTTACAAGTCAGATCAGGCTCATGTTTGGTTTACACACTCGAGAACAGGTGTTCTAGATACCCTGAGGGTACCAAACTTGTACTTTGATTTTCAGGTCAGGGTCAGGTCAGCACAGGTCACGGAAATATTATATCATGCGTCGGTCACGTGACACATGTTTTATGTTCCATTTAGGCCAAAGATTTCGAATTTGATGTCGCCTGCGTCATTTGAGGTCATTTTGAGTCGAATTTAGCATAGGTCAGGTCACTTTCAGGTAAAAAAGGTCAAATTTTAAAGTTAACCCGCGCCCTGCTGGGGGGGGGTGTTTGAACACCCCCCCCCCCCTTGTGGTTTTTCGCGAATATCTCAAAAACGGCGGCGCGGAGCGCCGCCGTTTTTGGTACACCTTATCATACATCAATTCTACACATGTTGTGAAAATTTCAGACCAAGGTCATTCAAGGTCAGGTCACCAGGTCACTTGAAGTGACCTCACCTCATACAAACTTTCAATGTCTGTCATAGCTACACCGAGTTACCGATCGCTTTGAAACTTTCAGCGATTGCTAAGAGCAATAGCATATACAAAATGTATATCTCAGAATTTTGATATCGATGACCTAAGGTCAGGTCAATTTTGCGACCTCCCCATTATAAGTCAATGGGAGAAAATTGAAATGCGCCTCTTTTGGATGAAAGACATTATAAACACTCCCAAACACCGAATTACAAGTGGTTTAGACACACTGAACTTGAAAATGGTGTACGTGACCCTTGTTTATGCCCTGAGGTCATCTTAGGTCACGAATGGTATCTAACAGTTTTTCGCAAATAACTTTTGATAGAGGCATGCTAGAGCGATGAAAACGCCTTAGATGTGTTCAGCTCGACGATACGGATCGACTGATATGCAACATGACCCTTTCCGGTCAGGTCATGACCTTGACCTGAGGTCAAATTTTCAAATTGACCTTTCAAGGTCAAGTCATAGTTCATTCGATGCGTCTTGACGAGAGAAACACGATGCCGGTAAAAGTAAGCTCGTACAAGGCTTGGGTCAAAAGTTATTGCAGAAAAACTGTTTTCGAAAAAATCGGCTATTTTTGCAGTTTTTGCCCCCTGCAGGCAAAACCGTTGACGTTAGGTCAAATCTGAGAGAATTAGTCAGAAAGGGCGTTAATAGGGCTATCGAATGCGCTTTTCTGCGGCGCTGTAGCTCTATTGGTTCCCGAGTTATGCGTTGGCTTCTTGGAAATTTTCGACATTCGACCTGGAAATCGGTGAAATTTTGCCTTCAATGACCTCTGGTGACCTGACCTTTGACCTGACCAAAAAATTGACCGAAGTGATTTCGTCATTATTTTTTACGCTCTTTCGAACGCCGCCTTCTGCGTATCGCTACGTGGCCCAGGAGCCGAGTTACAAGGGGGGGTGTTCAAACACCCCCCCCCCCCCCAGCAGGGCGTGGAAATCCAGGACCCCCAGCAGGGCGCGGGTTAAAATTTCTTAACAAAAAAGGTGTCTAATGGGTGCAGTTTGAGCTCAGAAACACGATGTTGCTATTTATATTGATGTAAGATGTCAAATACGTACTGAAAAAATTGATTTGAAAATTAATAATTGTGAATTTTTTGCAATAATGCGTATAACCTGCCCATTTTTAAAGATATTTAGCTAAAACTTGCTAGAGAAGTCATAAGCATGCATTCTGTCAAATATATATTTTTTTTCGAAAAGTTTTTGACTTTTCGAAAAAAAAAAAATGTAATTTTTCTATTTTATTATATAAAATTTTCGAAATTCTCAAAATTTTGAAAATCCGAGATAGCAGTTTGATAGCGCAGTCAATTTTGAGTCCATTCATGCAAAGAAATTGGATCTAGCTTAAAAACTGAGCTCTTGGGAGCGATTGCCGTGGTTCAATGTTTTGCGTCGAAATCGGCCGAACATGACGTCATTCTGACGTCATTTCCGGCCCACCTATGGTAGCTACGAAGTTCAAATTTTAACACAAGGTGTCAAATTAATGCAGCCGAAGGTACTGAAAGTTTGGCGTCGTTATGTCAAGCGGTTTGGAAGTTATTGCAGAAAAACGGGAGGGGGCTATGAATAGCCCATCCCCCCCCCCCCAGTGGGGCGCGGGTTAATATTGTCCTTATTATGACAGATATCTATTGAAAAAAAATCGTAGGAAATGATATGTCAGAGGCCTCTTGCACCAAAATCCTCTTGCACCAATGCTTGGCTTATTTTGCATCGTGTACCCAATCCAAGACACAAGTGTGACAATTTGCGTGTAAAATTTACCATGCACCTGTAGGATTATGTATTGGGCTATTGCAAACAAATTTACCACCGTCAGATTACCTTATTCTGTGCAAGAGGCCTCTGGTTCTAAAATCGACCCAAGATAAAGGCGCTTACGAAACTTCGTCAAAATTTCACTAGTAGGTACGGGTATTTGTTTCCCTGGAAGGATGACGAAAAATATAAAAGTTTCTAAATACGGACATGGAGCGTCTGAGCCCTACGTATGGTGTCTTAGACAGTTATCTCCTAACTAACAAAACTTAAGTTTCCAAAATGGGAGTAGCTCACCCTGATATTTGGAAGAATATTGCGAAATAACACCTAGCGATACTGAAGAGCGTATAGCCACAATTCAGGCCACTGGAAATGTGCCATGCACGCAGGAGCCGTTTAGCAGCAGTTCAGCGGCAGTAAATGGAATGAATGGCCGATGTCGATGATTTATGTTACTAAGCGTGCATGCTTAGCCACGTACAACTGCGTAAATAATAACAAGATAGCAACGAGAAACATTTAAAGAATATTTTAGATTCATAGCACCATTCGTCCCGAGAGCCAGAATGTACCGGTCGGGCCGTGCACTGGAAATAGGTCGGGCTGTTTCGTGGGTACACTATGGACCGTTTACGAGCCTCCGACTTTTAGCCAATGGGCAACGGCCCCGGCCGAAGTAGACCATTTCTAAACGACCTGCACTCAGGCAAGAACCGTTTGCAGCAGACGGATTAGGTTATTTGAATATGGACACGATCTCCCACGATCTCCCTTTTAACCCTCGCGGGCCCGGGGGGGGCGTTTTTCGCCCCCCCCCCCCTGGCGAATATTTGCGATAACTCACGAACGCATAGGGATAGGAAAGCGAAACTTTCAGTACCTTTTCTCCCATCAATTTGACATCTTCTGAAGTAAAAAAATTGGACCTAGCCCCCTTGATGACGTCACAAGGTCCATTTTTCTAGACCCCTGCACGGCAAACTTCGGCGTCACAGACGCAAACTTCAAATAGCTGCTAAAAATAGAGTTTTAGAGATAAAGACAAATTACGAGCACGGCTGTGTAGCGTTTGACCTACAGAAAATTAGAAAAATAGTTTCGGTGACCTGAGGTCAGAGGTCAGGTCAACGACCCCGAAATGTGGTTTTAGTTTTTCGCAAATAACTTCGACAAAAATGGTCCTAGAGCTACGGCAGTGGTACCATCGCATTCGCCTTGTCAAGCCGCGTCGAATGATATATATTTTGTTCGGAAAAGGTCAAGTTTCATGTTGACCTCATGTGACCTCGAATGACCTCTGGTTGACCTTGACACATGAAAGGTCGTTTATGATGGATTTGTACCCGCTGATCACGAATCTGGCATCTATTTTCCTCTAAGCCTTCATTTAGAGCTTCCGGATGGCAAAATTGTCTTATTTATTATTACTAACTTGAATCAGTGAAATAGCCTCTAGCAGGGATACTCTTCTGTGACCTTGACCTTTGAGCAGCCTTGTATCGTAAGATGAACCACAAATAGGGAACTGATAAGCCTCAAAACATTTCAAAACATCTTGGAAGTTAGCACGCAAGATGTGCGAAAAAGTGCCAAATTTGAGGTCAATTTTGAGCGTGACCTTGACCTTGACCTTTGATTTGGAGCACATTTTCAGAATCCTCAGATTCTCTTCTTTCGTTTGACACCCAGTTTTGCCGGTTTGATGCAGCCTGCCGTCCTCTAGAATGCTTACTTTGAGATCACTACACATGTGCCGGTTTTGGCCTTTGACCTTGACCTCTGACCTTGAAAATTGACCTGAGGTCAAAAATTTTGGGTGCATTAGAATCGTCTCGTAAGGACCTTTCGTTTGGTATCGCTTTTGTTTCCGTAGCTCCCTTATTTACGGAGTTAGACAGGGGGGGCGAAAAACGCCCCCCCCGGGCTGCGGTGGTTGGGATTACCCCCCGGGCCCGGCCGGGTTAAGGACCTCGCTCGTCCTTACAAAAGGAAGCGTCCACCCCTCCGTACACACCTCAGGTGATCGAAAATACCGACCGAATTTCACAAATGTGAGTCTTTGATGACAAGCTAATGCAGTGAAGAGCTATTGGGTCAGATTTAACTCCGCTTTACGATCACTTAAAACGTCAGTTACTAACTCAGCTACCTATTGAATTTGCTGTTTTTCCTGCCGATGATGGTCGGTGATATCACGCACTTAACGCATAAAAAAACCAACAAGAAGACACGGACATGACCCTTAACCCGCGCCCCGCTGGGGGGGGCAGAATCTGCCCCCCCCCCCTCCCGTTTTTCGCCAATAACTTCTAAACGCGTTACGCCAGCGACGTCAAACTTTCAGTACCTTATCATACATCAATTTGACACGTTCCCTGAAAATTTGAGCGAAATCCGTGGGAAAATTTTTGAGAAATTGACGTTTTAGTGACGTCATGTTCGCCATTTTCGCCTCAAAAACGGCAAAATTTCAAACGCCGCTAACATCTTCATTTTTAAAGGAATCAAGACGTAACAAAAAAGGTTATACGTGATTCTACTTTGTCTATCAAATGGCTATCTCGGTTTTTTTGAAAATTTTGGATTTTGGCCAAAATTTTTCCAAAAAACTGACTTTTTTGGGAAAATATTTATAAAATCCAAAATTTTGAGTTTATCGAAAAACCGGAATATATGTCAAAGAAGTGGTCTATGTGCACCCACATACCAATTTTTAGAAGAATCGGTTCAAAAATGTGGGAGTTATTCAAAATGTTATGACGTCACGACACACAAAATTTTTGAAAAATGATTTTTTTGGAAGTTCTAGACCTCGTACGGAAACAAAAATAGCACCATTCGATTCGCCGTGAAAAACTGCATCGGATAGACACCTTTTTAGGCCTTAACAACCAACTTCAAAATTTGACCTCACTTGACCTGACCTTGACCTGACCTCGACCTGAAATTCATCCAGAGGTGGTCCATATCACTTATTGAGTGTGCCTATTGAATTCCATGAGTAAAATGACCCATAAAACATGTGTCGCACATGCCCTTTTCTATATTTTGTTTTTGGTGACCTGACCTGACCTGACCTGACCTTGACCTTGACCTTTGAATGACATTGTGTGCAACGAATATTGTCTTGGTAGTCTAAGAACACGTTTTGGGCAATCAGTCTCAGTCCATTCTTCGGCAACTACGGTGCAAGGCCGATACTGTACAAACTTGCATTTTGTACCCTTGACCTGACCTTGACCTGACCTCTGACCTACTTAAGCAAAAAAATTTGGGCTCTTAAGATCCGCCTTGTTGAGAGCTTTTGATTGCCGTTTTCCCCGTCTTTCTACGACCATCGGTTCGGAAGTTAGACAGGGGGGCAGAATCTGCCCCCCCCCCCCCCCCAGCAGGGCGCGTATGGCTGAATAGCCCAGCGGGGCGCGGGTTAACTTAGCAACCATTCTTTTCGTTGATGCAACCCCCTAACGTTTTTCGCAAATAACTCGCGTAAAAAGCGGCCGATCGCAAAACGGCTCGAGATTCCAAGCGTCCTGCACCACACCCACACATATGTATGTAGTATATACGGATACCCAAGAGTTCGCATTTTCCCGCGAGCCCACCTTGGCGTCGAGCTGGCCGATGATGCCGGACCAGGTGCCGTTCTCGAGCAGGGCCGTAGCCGCCGCGCGGCGGCGGCAGCAGGGTGTAGCGGAGCTGCAGCTCCTCCGCCACGATCTTCCACAGGTCGACCAGGTAGCCGCGCTGGCTGACCGCCCCGGACGCGTCCTCCTCCACGTATGTAAACGGAGGGTCCTGCGCGCCCGTGAGAGCACGGACAGACGCGAGGTTACACGAGCTCGAGGCAAGCAGTGCAGGCTGCAGCGGCACTCGAAACAGTAAAACACGACAAATTTG